TGACCGTTGCCTCAGGGTGTTTTTGGGTCCAAAGAACAATCATTACAAATACAAGCCCTTTATGTTTTATTAATCAAGTATGAGTAAATCATTGCAAATACTTGCATTAAGTGTTTATTTCCTGAAAACATTTTTCAAGCTTCAGTGTTATTTTCAGACAGATGTATTGAGTCAGTCCTGAGTCAGTCCTTAGCAAGAATGTTGTCCATTCCAAAGCCATGCATCCATGCACCTGTCAAATTATTCCTGTTTGGATCCACTATAGCTGAACGTTTGCATGCATGCTTGAACATTCCTTACCCTTCATAAAGGTTGCAAGAATCCACACAGGTTCTCCCACGACTGAAATATCGGCAGGACAGGCACTGGTCTGGGCCGGGACCCCAACATCCAGCGTCTGAACACAGCGGGTCGCAAACCAGACGCTCCCTGGCTGCTCAAAACACACACACACAAAGGTTGTGTTTAAAAAAATTGATTCAAATGTGCTTTCTACAAACTGGAAGACGGACATAGCATGAGCACTAAATTTCCAGTTTTATTGGTATAATGTTGGCAGAAATGATCACATCACCCTTGAAAAGATGCAATGAATCATCCACATGTCAGCTATTAATTTGCTTTGGCATATGAAAGCTGGTCTCTTATGGCGATTTGACAAACACTACCAACTCATTAACAACTGAACAGTTGCCCGACTGGACAAATTGAAAGACCGTCCTGTTGCTCCTTTACAAAAAATAAATAAATAAATAAATATATATATAACATATATAACAGATAGGGAAAACATCTCACCATCCACATTTTTAGAACATCACATAAATGAATTCAGCAGGATAGCAGTATACCTAGAGTGGGTAGTGCATAGTATTAGCAATATTTTCTATAATGTTTCCAGTGCAGTTAGCAAGAGGAGGGATCTGTGTGGCTTCATTAGAGAAGTGCTGAGCACACAATGACAAATCGCCACTGGGACCCTGGAAACACCTGCAGATGCCACAAAGACTTGTAAATTCAACTACGACTCAAAGCAAAAGGATTTTTTCCCCAGATTCTTTCTGCTGTGCTGTTTTTCACAGTGGCAAAATAGTCTCTCCTTTTTTGGGACCTCCGGTTGCTTTATTTCTTTTTCTTGTGTCTCCCCAAGCAGTTGTTCTTCAAAGGTTGCCAAATTTGCAAGCATCACATTGATAAAATAATAATAGTATAGAATAACATAGATAATACAGTATATATTATAAAGATAATGAAAAAAATTAAAAAGAAATAACGTGTTGAAGGGAATACAGATGCGTTTGGAACTTTTGAAACTCAGTTTGCGCCCTTTTACTCTCCTCTCCAAGCTACAAACATTCTTATAAAAAAAGCCCCTGCTGCTTGCGCTGTAGTGGCCACATGTAAGCCACAAGCAATCCCTCTATGCCATCCAAACCTATGTTCAGAATGCTCAGACAGCTCTGACAGATGCATCCACAAAGAAGGCAAATATCAAGTGCACCTTTTTAGGGCAGAAGATGAAAGCTTTGCCTTTCACCGTAGAGAAAACCTCTCCTCCCGGGCTTCTAACACCACAGGTAAACTGACCAGGCAGAGAGGGAAAGACATTAGCCGTGCGGCAATTCCAACCTCAGATGTGTCTGAAATGATTGGATGAGGAAAGCCATGTCATGAGGGAAACCAGAGCAGAGTTTGATGACGTCTATTTGGGCATTGCAAAAGAACTGAACAAAAGATGGAAAAGATGAAAGAGAAGAAAGTCCTACTCATAAATAAATACTTCTTGTTGTGTACGTAAAAAAGCTGAGTTACAATTTTAGTTATTTGGCCGGGAGCCGTTGAAAGTGAATAATTTCATTCTGTCATGGGAGTAGATATAACATTCTAACTCTGGAGCTATTGAAGACATCACACCTGTCATTTACAACTGTGCACCATTTCCACAGAAGCCTCATAAGGGTGCATATATGTGTGCAATCATAAACACTGGATCAGAACTTGGGGTAAAATGACACTCTACTCTTGGGTTGGTTGGATCAAACACAACAGATGATACAATCGAACACTGACGCAGGAACTTTGACTCTGGAGCCATCTGTAAGAGCTTTATCTCTATCCATATTCTCAATCAAACATGAGCAAAGACATATTGGGCATGGTACAGCTGCCACCTCCGTGACCTTGCAGCTAGATTTGGCAACTTTTCATTTCCATAACATTTAAAAATGTGTAAAGTGGCAACCCATCTGGCTTTTGTTCACCTACTGTCCTTGGAAAGTTTGGTTTCAAGCTCTGCTCAGTATGCTTAAGGCCAATCTCTTTTCACACACGTAAGCACAGAAAAGTAAGAACTAACATCTGTATATGTTTAAAACAAAAGCCAGAATACAGGCACATTTCAAATTTCATGTAGATTTAACTCTGAGCAAGCAAATATGACAATATCTACAGAGAAGGGGACAGAGGTGAAGGGGCAAACTCTTCACATGGGGTGTAGAAGCAAGCATGGATGCAATAACAGTTAATCCCTTGGTTTTCTGTCTTTTTCTTGCCTCATATTTGAATTTGAGAATCCCTTTTTTGAAACAAGACCAATTTTAATTTTCCGTGGGGCTATGGAGGTCCGGAGACATAGGCTTGCTAGATGTCTCTTCATTTGAATCTGGGTCGAGCCGCGCGGGAATAATGTGAGGTCAAATAGAGGCGGCGCATAGGGATGAATGATAAAGGTGTAATGTGTACCGCTTTAAAATATGCAGCAAGGCTAACAGGAGCAACATGGCGATGTCAGATATAGAAGGTCTGCACACACCCACCCACGACCTTCTGTGTGGGTTCATATTCAGGGCAAAACAGTAGAGACATCGCTTTTAGAGCTAAGCTTCATTGCTACATCTATTCCATTGAGTATTCTGATGTTAGAGCGCTTCCCGATGTAAAATTTTGAATAGATATGGTCATAAAAGACCAAGTCTGCACTCCGGAGACATCATTACAAAACAAGGACAATTCAACACAAAACATTAATACTGATGTCATTTTGTTATATTCATAACTTTAATCGGGTGGATTATCAGTGGTAAAAAGAGAAGAAAAAAAACTGCCAATGTGGTTTCATTTTTCACTAACTAGCCAGTGCTTAAAGCTGCATGCATATGTCAAAAAAAGAAAAAGAAAAAAATATTTGTTTAATACATTAACTGATTGCTGACTCGTTTATGCCCTTAAGTGCTCTGGTAGCATAACCAGCCAATGATTAAAAAAACAACCCTAAAATCTTCAAATTTCTCAAAAAGTGTGTGTGTGTGTGTGTGTGTATACACCAAGGAACTGCCAGAGGAAAGTTGCACAATGAACAGCAAAAAGGGCCAACCTCAATAATGCAAATACTGCCACATTAATGAGGATCATCGATGAATAAATAATGCCTGGAAACCTGTGGCAGTAATGGTATAAAATTCATTTTTTTCTAAAGACAATCATTAAATCACTTATTTGCCTGATATAGTAAGGCCATAACTGAACTGAATGGTCCCCATGGTTAATGGTTTGAGTTACAGGTTTGAACGCATCATCTTAAATGAGTGAGGTGATAGCCAGTAAGAAAAGTTTGTTTGATTTTTCTTTTGCCTTCTGAAGTTCTGGACACAGAAAATAGGATGTCATTGCCCCTATGTTAGATAATAATCATCTGCTTTTGATTTAAATTATATCTTATAAGAAAAAACTTGTATTTTCTCCACAAGGTACTTTTTTATGTATTTTTCCCAGTTCCATCATTTAATACATGTAAATCAAGCACACACACTCACACTCAGAGACACAGATATTTGGTACTAACAAGAAGTCACTGTAAATATTAAGAGGAGCAACAGGTTGTTTTTCTTTTCATTTTTGTGACAGCTGTTAAGGTCCGGTTGTTTGTCAAAGTCCAAAAGTATGACATTTCTTTCTAAAATAAACAGATACATGAAAAACAGGGTATTTAGCATGATTTTGTCAGAACTTACAGCACTCCGATGGGCTTCGGTTGTTACGGATCAGGACCTTTTGGTTCACAGCACGGAACAATTTCGTCCAGTTGACAGTGTTGTAATAGCAAAGCTGGCTGTTCTCTGCAATGTGGACGTTCCCAGCACTGATCTCTCTTAACGACTGAAGCTGCAGTGATGAGATGCCCTGCTGCTTTAACACCAGCAGCGAAATCCCACTGAGAGGGAAAAATAAGTGGAGAGAAAAGGGGGGAGACGGGTTGTTGACATGAGGTGGAAAAGATGCAGCAAAGAAAAGAAAAATGAAAGAGAAAGGATAAAAACCAAATAAATGGCAGGTTCATTACAGGTTCATTTATTCATTTATTGGACATGGTCCAGTTTTGCTTTGTTCAATTCTCACAAGGCCTCATTATAAAGTTTTAATGCATCCAACAGTATTACCTTTTTTTTTTCAGCAGAACAGGTACTTTTTGAAGAACCTTTTACGAGAATTGCAACAATACCTGGAATATACTAAATTAAATTATTAAAGACATCAATAGTTGGACTCTGGCGATGTCCAGGGGAAATCTTGACACACTCACTCTACCCATAAACATAGACGCGGAATGTTTACTTCCAAACATGATAGGTGTGATTATTGCATCACCATAATATAGAGCAACAGCCATGTGGAACAGATGGCTGCCCATTTGTTTCTGTGCTCAGTATATTGCACTTGAAAAGGGTAGCATGCACATGAGAGTGGAGAGGTCAGTTTGTACATCTGATTTCTATAACACATTCACATCAACCTATGGGTAACGTTACAAATAGAAAACATGCTCTTGAAAAGGCGTGCATAAATGTGACTAGTAATCTTTCATTCCTGCAGTAAACAGAGGGCATTTTGTGATTACTATGATAATTTAGATTATGCTAATCTAAATATAAAGAACAATTTGCATGAAAAGGAAAACCTAACAGCATCTGACTGAAACGCAACGTTAAAAAAACAAAACAACAAACAAATAAAAAAAAAACATTGAGGCTACCAGTTACCTCAGCCATGGTCTCATTTGTCAGTAATAATTGCAGCACAGGATAATCAACTAAAATAACACAATCTGTTTGTTTAGTCTATTTAGTATTGTAATGCTGCCAATTTGAAATAATTCATATCCTGCTTCTGTTCAACATTATCTGCTGAATGTTTTTGTGCAGACACTTTGCAATGTGTTGTTAGTTACAACAACATATGTATTAAGTCATTCTCTCACTCTTCTTTCTTTCTTTCTTTCTTTCTTTCTTTCTTTCTTTCTTTCTTTC